TTTTTGTTTTTGTTCGGAATTTGAATGTTAAAACTTAAACGTTAACACAATGAATTTCATATATGCTTCATTTAATTCTTATGTATAGTAGAGAGGATTGCAGTAGAAGTTAGAAGAATTTTAGTAGTAAGTTAGTAGTCTGAATCTTATCCTAATAAATTAAATTGGTTTTGAAATTTTATGAATTTTCGGAAGGTTGAAGAAAAAAGCAAAATGAATCAAAAGAAGGTAAGAAAAACTAAAATGATGATTAGGGAAAAGTGAAGGAAAAGATTTTTTTAAGTTGTTCAATAATTTAAAATAATATTTTTTTTTTTGTTGTTTCATCTGTGATTTTATTAGAAGATAAGTAGGAGAGCCAAAAAAAAAACAAAAGAAATATGTTGTAATTATATTGTAATATTTCAAAATGTAAAAAAGAAATTAAATTCCTAGAAGATGGAATCATTTATCATTTTCAATATCTCCTTATCAAATAATAAGTAAGTATACACTATTGATATATTATCATTATTATTTGTCATTTATTGGTATTATTATCGTTATTATCATTATTAACTATTATTATTTATTATCATCATCATTACTGATTATTATTATTAATTATCATCATTATTATTAATTATTATTATCATTATAAAAAAGGGTCAGCAGTGAAACAAATAATGGTGCTGTAAAATGAAATTGACAAATTAATGAATTGTATTATACATTTCTTTATTTTCATAATGTATTTTTTTTGTATTTTTCTGTTTTAGATAAAAATATTAAAATGTTATTCGATTTATTCGTTTATTTTTCTCATTAATAATTAAGAAAAATGGCGTTTAAAAGAAGAAAACAAGTGATTAGCAGGGCAAAAATTGTTGTTAAAGAAACGAAAATATTTTTTTTTTCTCTGTTTTTCCTATTTTTTAAAAATTATTTTACTGTAGAATATACTAAAGTATCTTATGTGTAAAGTGCTCTTCTCGTCAACAAATATTTGCCTCTTTTTTTTTTTTGTTGTTGTGTTGTTTTGTTTTGAATTTTTAATAACACTTTGCTCATCTATTTTTTTTTTTTTTACATTCATATATAATTTACAGTATTTGAAAGAGAAGCTGTTTGCTTTTTTGGTAGAGGTGTGATTTGTTTGTTTTAATTGCTATTAAATGGCGCTTACATTACCACTTCATGTAGTAGCTAGTGTACAACGTTGTTGTTCAAATCGAGCTGGTACCTCAAGTCTTCCGGATCAAATTATCGAACTTATTGTTAACAGGGTTATTTCGTTTTTTTTTTCTTTATTTTCTTAAAATTTTAATTGCTTACTGATCGTATTATTCATTTAAAAGGATGAAATAATAAAAATGGAAATTAATTTGAGAAAACATTTTATTTGTACTTATAAATTAATCTCATCTTATTCAATCATTTAGCCTTTATTTTATTATAAAGTATTTTTTTTAATGTAAAATTATATGTTTGTAAGTGTGAATGGGGAAAAAAAAAATGTTATCATCATTCAGTCATCATTATTTGATATTATCAAATGGCAACAAATATCAAAAAGCTTTCAAAGAGCAGCTGAGAAACGACTTGATATGTATACGATGATTGATGTTAAAGTATACAATGGCTTACGACAATTACGAAATAAAGCTGGTGCAGAATGTATGTTTTCAGTTATTTATGATATATTAGAATTTGATTGTAATGCTTTTTTGTGACATTGTTAAGATGTTATAATTGAAATAAATCATTTGAAAATTTTTAATTTTTGTTTTCTTTAAGATAGCGTTTTTTTTTTTTTTTTGTAAATTAAACTTTTCTTTCAAATAAAATTATTATGTAAGAAAAAAAAAAAAACGAAAATGATAATACAATATTGTGCATATATTTTTAGCAGAATATGATTGGCATCCATCATTAGCATTAATGATAATGGAACTGGAACCAAATCATCTTGGTATAGCAATTGATTCTGAATTAAAAACAAACAATGTTACCATTTTGCTGCATTTACTATTTACTTTGAGGCGTAAAGTGGAGCAATTATTCATTGATAGTCCAATTATTGAGCTACTTGTCGCACAGGTTTTACTTTAAATATTTTTTTTTTTTATTTTTTTTTGATATAATTTCACGTAGAAAATATGTAAAAATTATTTTATTTGAATGTTATACATTCTTGAATTTTTGAACGATTTGTTGAAATTATTATTGTTCATTTTAGATTAATAAAGAACAAATAAATATATTGATTGAAATGATTAGTCTTTCACGAAAAGTGAACAATTGTTGTGGTACAACACGTAATCGGCAATTAAAATTAACATCACTTCATCGGATATATTTCCCGGATACTCCTTTCTTTCCGAATTTGAAGAAATTATCCATTATATCAAAGGTT